CGGTCTAGCTTGCCCTTGTGAACTGTAGAACTTGCGCACTTATGCCTCTCCCCTCCAGCTCCTCCCGGTGGTCCATTTGTACACCCTAAGACCTCACCACTTTCATTTCACCTCCCTGCATAACCTCCGATCATCACCATCGGCTTTTCAGAAGTAACTCTCTTCTCGCCTTCTTAGATAATAATCAGTTTTTCCTTCACCAGTCATAACCTCAATTGATCTGCCTCCGGCGTCAGCCTACTACCCATACTTGTAACCAAAGCTCCTCCATCCGTTGGCCACCCAATCGGTGGTCTAGCTTCAAATAGCGATTCGATTACCTAAGCCTTCTTCATGTTATCATTGAGGTTCTTTCAGCAACTCTCGTCTGACATAGTCATCTTATGCACTTATGCTCCTCTAATACTATTAGAAAAATAGTATGTGTCCTACAAATAGCGTCAATTGATGTACTATTTCACCCCAAAGTGGTCTTCCTTTTTTTTCCAACCGATTTGATCTCCGAAGACATGCAAAACATGTCGAGAATGTTCCTGCGTAAAACCTCTAATGATTAAGTCAATAAAGGATTATGAAAGGTTATATCTAAATGTAAGCAATAATATTAAGAGTGTATAGTGTGATTAACTTTTTATCTTTCATCTACTTCATCTATTTATAGTGGATTCGTGCCTTATTGAACATGCTTTATCCTACCCTACCTGGTTGCCCGAAGGTCTGCCCGAATTCCCAGACTGCTGGAAGGCCTGCCCGACGGTTATTTTGTTATTTCTAGGTCCGCTCGAGATCTATTCTTATCTTTATGATCATCTAGATCTTCCTGAATAGCCATATACGTGTCCCATACTAATAGGTCTTCTCGTTCCATATATTATTCATAGATCTCCTTACTCACATAGCTTCCATAAGTCCTCACTTAGACTAAGTCTCCACATGTCAGTTCACACCACATAGGTTCTTCTTATCCCAATGTCAACAGACTTACATATGCTTAACTACTCATACATCAGTCAACAACATCATTAGTAGGTCTGTCAATCTTTTACGCATAGGTCTCCCGACCTATTGCACGTATGTTGACATGTTCAGTTTGAGCTACCACACTGTTCGAGCTACTGGGATACTAACACCATGATGTCCGATCTACCATACTGTTCGAGCTACTGGAATATTAACACTATGTTGTCCGAGCTGCCATACTGTCTGAGCTACATGAATATTAACACTATGTTGTCTGAGCTAATCTAACCCAATTTATTCGATCTACTCATACGACCGACTTACTCGAGCTAAATGAGACCGGTTCACCTAAGCTATTATATATGTTATATCACGAACTATATTCAACGGCATGTCATTGAATAAGGCTCAATGCGAATTAACTCTCAACAAAAAAGAGTAAAAAAAAAAAAATTAGCGGATATATTTGTATCCAAACACACTCTAAAGCGTGAATTTCTATCTCGTGTTAAAGTCACTTATAACAAAGGATTTTACTCATTCACCAACCTCTTGAATCTTAAAAGGGAACATTAAAAATTACATCTCAGGACAAACACATCATCAAAATACAATAAGATACAGAAAAGCAAGACACGAGCACAAGACACAAACATGCAGGCAAATGTACATCACACCCAAAAAATCATTTGACAATTACATCACACTAGGAAAACCAAATCATAAGAAATAATTAAAACAAATGCTACATAGAAGAACAAGGTTCTTACATGCAGAACAAGAGAGCATGAGAGAAATCCACGCAAAAACAGCTTTCAAGTTTTACGACCGAATAAAAGGAGCCTTCTGAACCCTTTGGGTATCTTAGGCGAGCTTTCGCCATTGTTCCACTTCTTTCGGGAATGAATAATCGCCTCCTCACTTTCTGGCGGAGTAGTAGCAATATTCACAATGGAGATCTCGGGCGAAAATGTCAACTTCTTTCTCTCGCCAGTGTTTGACATGCTCGGTTTCGAATAATTTTGTTCCACCTGAGGTGAAATCATCAGCTCAACTCTTTCTGAGATGTTCTTGTCGTGCATATCATCTTCAGCGGAAACTGCATTTACTTCCGTTTTCTCTACCGATGTTACAGTGTGTAATATCTTGACCTCTCCAACATCTTCTTCGGTAATGCCATTATTGACTTGCACTTTTTCTGACTTCTCGGGAACTGATGGTTTTATGCCTTTGCCATCCTTTTTCTGAACATCAGCCATGACGTTTTTCGGTTGTTGAGTTGCCTTTGGCGAGTTCTTTATATTTGGAGTCAGTTTTTTGTTACGTTCGGTTTTTGGTCCACCTGGCGACGGCTTGTTCGTGGAGGAGCTCCTCATGACAGGTTTAAGTGGGTTTTTGTTCTTGACAACTTGGCCAGGAGGTTTAGGATTTGGATTTGGTGATGAAACAGACTTGTTTTTCTTGATTTCTTTTGGTGGCCTTTTTGATGTTTCGGACTGTTTAACAGTAACCCCTTTAGAAGCACTTCTATCGGCGATTCTCTTTTGGCGCTGCATTAGCAATTCTTCCATTCTCTTCCTTTTCTCGTCTTCCTGAACAATCAAAAACAGAATATAGTTAGTGTTAATTAAGTTCTGTTTAGTTGCAGAGAGGCAGAGGTATATATCCAAATTAGCCAGATGACAATATTATACCGTTACAGATTTGCTTCTATTCATTGTGTTTGCAGTAACCGATAGTTTGCTCCTCGGTGGTGTATCTGATTTTCTGCGGCTCAAAGATCCACTTGGAGTTCTAGAAGTTGGTTCATTCTTACTCATTTTTCGTCCAGTTTCTTTTCCTGATCCATTTTTACCCTCTTTTATGTTTAACTCACTTGGTTCGCCTTTCGTATGAGCCCCAACCGTCTCAACTAGCAAAACATCATTCTTATAGTCCGTTTCGTTCCTCCATACCGAATCATGGCCGAGCATCATTTTAAGGTCTTCTGGTTCACAGTAATGGTTATGACTAGCTTCCGACTTGCCAGGCACGTTATTACTCGTCTGCTCACCTCCAACCATGTCTGTAACCAAGAAAATGTCGTCTTTAGGCTGAGTTTGTGATGGGCCGTCCGAAGTTCGTGGCTGGACCATGAAAGAGTCGTCCAATAGGGCATCTACTTTGTTTTCTCCTGTCCGAATATTCCTATTGGCCATGGCTTGATCTCCCGAAAACATATTGTGATCCATATTAATATATCCTTCTGCATTTTGGTGCACGTCCAATTTCACGAAATCATCGTCTTTCCTTGTTTTCATTACCATAGGCTCGGTGCTATCTAGACGAGCATTTTCCTGATAGTACTCTCTTTCTGCTGTTCTTGATGAAAGTAAAAACTCATCATCTTTGTCCGTCCTCTTAACAACTCCATGGAAACTTTCGCCACCTTGGAAACTTCTATCATCTTCTTTTTTCCCAAATCCGTTTCCTGTTGAGCTTCCGGTAAGAAGAAAATCGTCACTGGCATATTTTCCCCTTGTGTGTAAAGAAGATGAGTTTTCTTCTCCATGAACCTTCTGGCTAGAATCTTCTTGAAAAACATCCAAAGTCTTCGAACCCACATCCATTGTATTCGATCTTGAGTCCTTCATGAGAAGGTTCTGGAAGATATCCCAATTCCCGTCTTTCTTTTCCTCTTCGGAATCAAACTCCCCTCCCTTCTCAGTTGACTTACTGCCAACATTCTTCATTTTGCTAGATTTCGGTTTATGATGCCTTCTCATCGATCCAACGGCTGCCTCCACTTGCTCCTTGAGCAAATCCGGGCTCATATATTCATCCTCATCAGATGAATTGCTATTGGACTTGTTTCTTCCCGGGGCTATGTAATTTATGTTGCGAATGACAACTTTTTTCGACGAAGAATTTTTGCTCTGCTTCTTGGTTTTTACCCTCTCGTCACTAGAACTACTGCTTCCCGAGCCTGATCCATCACTTCCCATGCTTTCTTCGCTTTTCGTTTTTGCGTATTTTTCCTTTTTCTTGTTGGATTTGTGCCTTCTGCTGCTATCCGGAGGCCATGGCATGCCGCCTGGGAATATGTATCCTGGGTACGGTTGGAACAAAGAGGCTTGGCTATTTTGCATGTACTGAGGTAAGTGGTGTGGCCATGTTGCTAATTGTGGCGGTTGCTGGTTGAACTCGACCGACAGACCATTTTCTGTACCTTTAATGAAACAACAAATCCTCTCAATACATAATCTCACTTCATATTATGAGGATATGAAATAAAACGGTGAACAATCATGAAAAAAGTACGATATATCGACCTATACGTGTCTCTGAGCATTTCGTACGTCCATTTCAGACAAAATTTTAAATAAATAGTATACCTTCGTTCGTGTCTGTAGTTCCAAGCCTCGTGATTGAATCTGATGTTGTCTGAGACAGGTTGTTAGTTTCTGCAGCAAGTACAATTCCAGAAGATCCCAAATACGAAGCTCGCATGGCAGCAACTTCATCCATCCAAATCTTGTCCTCGTTTTTCTTCTTACAAAGTTCCATAAAGTTTATACATGCTTCCCTAAAACAGTAAAAATTAGAAAGAAAGTAAAGACACACGAAAATATGAAGCTCTATCGTTATTATTGCGGTTTTATTTTTACCTTAAACGGTAAGCGCCAAAAGCATCACCGAAAGAGACAAGGTCATACAAGCAGTCCATCTCAAAACCGGCCACGAGCGAACGAGCATAAGCCATTGCTTGCTCTTTCTTCAGCATCGCCTTTCGGGATTCCAGAACACGGTGAAGACGAATCCTATCCGACACCATTTCGAATCGAAGAATTGTCATAATTATGTGGTTGATGGTGTGTATAAGTTGAAATAAAGCAAGAGCTAACAAGAATTTACTTCGGGTTTTTTTCATCATCATCGGCGTCACTCGAGTCATGATGAACTTTGGGCTGGATCTATCAGAGAAAGATGATTAGTAACTACTTATAAATCATTTACATTAAAAAAAAATAAGAAAATCAAACTCAGACAAGGATGACACTAACCTTAAGAAAATCAAACTCAGCTCCATTTGCTTGATCATTTGATTCAAATGAGCTCTCAATCTGAATGATCTCTCTCTCAATGCTCACAAACCTCTCAAGAACTTCTGGTGTACTCACAAACCTCACAAACCTGAAAAATAAAAAAAAGTTACTGCACGGCTCGGCTACAAACACGAATTACGGCAGTAAAACCGGGACACGTTCGGTTACCTACCGCTCGAGTGTGGCCTTAGTGAACCAAGAAGAAGAATCACAAGAGCTGGAGGCCGGCTTGAGAGTGATGGAATATCCACCTTTGGATATTTGATCTTTAGCCGTTTTCAAGTGGCTAATGAAAGGTTCAAGCAGCCCCGAAGCTATTTTCTCACTCTTTTCCCCAGCAAATATCACAAGATCACACCTGGTTCTTGTTGGGGTCAGTTGAAACAGAGCATGATCAACCACAGCTTTTGAATCCATTCTCTTTACTTCCCAGTTTTCCCTGATGAATAAAATTCCCTTTTGTTATTATTTGCAGCAGTTTGCTGAGGGGTCAACTTCAGTGTGAAATATTATTATTATTATTATTATTTATTGTTATTTGTTTTGCTTATGAAGTGCTCAAAATGGGAAGTTACAAATGTAAATCATAAGTGTGTTTGAGTGTGTGTGAGTGAATGATGTTATGGTTTGCTTGCCTTGGTTGTCACTCTCATCAGAATCACTGCAGAGACTGAAAGAAGGAATGATAGTGGTAAGTGTTTTTTTACTTGCAGTCAAAATGGGGGCCTCTTTGAACATCAATTTGTTTTTGTTATATAGGGTATGTTATCTGGTATTCACCCCTAGTTTACCTCTTTATTGCTATTTATTTTTATGTGGGATTATGAATCAGCTCCTAATCAATGGTTTGAGTTTTAAAATTTGTATGGATTGTTGTAGCTTTTTCTAATCACAACTAAAAACTGATGAATTGTGTGTGGGGGAACTGATGAATTGTGTGTTGTGGATTTTTCATATCTGGTACTTCATGTTTGTTAGAGAGACACTCACATGGGATTTATTAGATAAATACCAATTCTGAGTTGTTTCATATCGTTTATACAGGAAAAATCGATCCAACTTATAAATCTAGTGTGCTACTTCTCCTATCACCAATTGGTTCTTGAGATGGAACCTCACTTGGGCTTTGTCTGGGCTCACCTTGTCATTGTGCGCTTCACGTACGTGGGACAACATCCGTTTTTCCACCGGATTCTTACAGGATTAAACGAGTTTCATTATTTAAATATGGAACACAAATGAGACTCAATCATAGCCATTAAATATGAACATAATGTGTAGTCAAGGTTTAATAATTTATATTTTTTATTTTATTTATTTAAATATTTATTTGACCATTTGATCGTTGATAGTTGACTCCAGCACTATCCGTTAACTTTCAGCGTTGACAATTATGTTCAACATTGATCGTTGACTTTTGACATTGAATTTTGGCGTTCATTGACCTTAGTATGGATTATGTATTAAATAAATGTGCACTCCAAAGTTGATATGAACTATATCTTATATTTGGTATAACTTTTTTTTTTTCGGAAAGATATATATTTTATAGAAAAAATACATAATTATAAACTAGAGCAGTCCGACGACTGAATAAGATAGCTCTTGACCCGAATCTAGCGCGAGGACAGATCCGAAGATCGCCTAGAAGCTAACAAATATCTCAATTCTCACAGCACACCCACCAACAAAAAACATAAACTAAAACTAATCTAAGAAGCTCAACAACTGGAGAATAAAAAGCTCCCCTACGGGAGAATATTCTCCAACGGGAAAAAACACCAACACAAAAGAACAACAAAAAGAAACACCACAACACAAAACCTACACTAACCAAGACACACTAAAAACCACTCTGCCACAGCACCTCAAGAGACGACCGAACTTCACCCTAATTGGCAACCACCAAAGGGTCGAAGACGGCGGCCGCTTATCGCCGTTGAATGGTGGCCAGCGGCGATCGTTGACACAAACGCCACTGACCAGCCCACAAATATTTTTTTGCGTGAACCCTGCGCATTTAGTATATGCATAATGCAAATTTAATTCATATATAGTTCAACATAAATACATAATTAGCTTATATTAATTTTATATTTTGAAGCTTTTAATTCTTACATAATGCATATTTAGTTCATATATAATTGCATAGCTATGTATAATTAGTTTCAATTGCATACATAGTTTCAAAACTAAATACATACAACATATTTAGTTCATATAATTAGTTCATTCATAATGCTCAATTGCATATTTTGACAGGGACACTGTACTACACATTTAGTGCATACATAATGCATACTTAT